ATTTATTTATTTTGAGACAGTACACGGGAGGCGCAGAGAGGGAGAGGGAGAGAGGGAATCCCAAGCAAGCTCCGCACCATCAGTGCAGAGCCCAAGGTGGGGCTCGAACTCATGAACCGTGAGATCATGACCTGAGCCGACATCAGCAGCCAGACTGAGCCACCCAGACACCCCTGGTTTTTGTTTTAAAGGAAAGGTGGAGGGTGGGGAGGGCACCAGAGGAAGGCATTTTTAGGATGAGTATCCTCGTCCCCTGAACCAGAACTGGAGTCAAAGTCCTTGACGCGGGTGTGATGAGTTCAAGCACAGGGGAAGCCACAGGGGGACTATTCCCATCGCTAGCTTGAAATCCAAACTCGACACATCCTCCTTGTCCCTCCCCGTCTCCTCCATCCACCCAGCCCAGGGGTCCCTCTTAGCAAGAGCCACAAGCATTCGCCTCAAGAGGGCTGAAGATTCAGGGCAAGCCTTGCCACGTGCCCAATGAGCGTGCAGGGCATCGAGGCCACAGCAGGCCCGGGCCAGAGGTCAGGGCCAGAGACACCAGGCCTCCTTCCCCCTTGTATCTGTCAGAACTGGGCTTGCGGCCGACACACCGGAATCGTTTTAGGATGAATGGACAGAGAGGTAGTCTTCGACCTGCTCCAATGAAAAGCAGGCGGAGAGCAAGGGACAGTCCAGGGGAGGAAATGGTGCAGGCGGCATAGAGGGACAGGCGTTGAGGCCGCTGGTGAACCTGTTCTACTCACTGCCGCGGCTCTGACTCCAGACCTTCGTGCTCCCGTCACCCAGATTCTCGGCCACCACGGACTTGCGGACCTCACTCTCCCCCCTTGTTCAGGACTCTGCCCCAGTGTCACCTCTCCAGCCTGTGTGAAGGCGGCCGGCCCCGCTCACCTCCTGGCTTACTTCTCACTGCCGCATAGCTCACCCGGGACAAGTTGATACTTGTTCGTCTCTCCGCTAGAAGGCAAGCCCCACCAGGGCGGGGCCTCTGATTGGTCCCCGCACCCGCACAGCGCCTAGCACACAGGCTGCGACGACAGCCCAGCCCGAGGGCGGGCGGGCGGGCAAGGGCGGATGCGGCGAGGCCCCTCCCCCGAAGGTCACCCGGGTGCACACACTCGGAGAGGCGAGAGTGATGGGCACGTGGGTACCCCGCCCCACACACCCCTCTCGCCGGAGGGGACGCGACACAAAATTATAACCGATGTGGAAACGGAGGCTGGCGCAGGTCTCTAGACGGCAATTTGGTGATCGCTGTCAGAATAAATGGACCCGGACGCACGCACCGCGACAGGGATACGCGGCTTTTGCTTCGCTATCACTACAGTAAAACTACCGTGCACCCACAGGGGGACGGGTTAAATAATTACAATACACAGGCACAGTGGGACAGTCTGAAGCACACAGCTGTCCCTCCCCTTAAGCCAGTGTCTGCTTCTGGAGTTTTCTTGCCTCCCGGAGCTGCAGAGCCCCAAGGGGGAGGCAGGGGAGCCTTCCGCCAAGCCGGTGCCCGGTGGACCTTTGTGGGGGGCACACAGGGAAGGGCCTCCCTCAGTTACAGGACCCAGGAGGCTAGAGTGAAGACCAGGAAACAGGTTCTGGAAAAAGCCGGTGGAAGTGATTCACCTTGTAGCAGGTGTACCTAAGGCATGTGGTCCACACCCAACCCAGCTGCTCTGGAGGGAGGCGGGGGGAGGGGGGGG